GTGAAAAAAATGGAAGCAGGACTTACGGCTTCGCAGCAAAACTTGGCAGATAATAGTTCGATTGCTGCTCGTCAAAACCAAGTAATTATATTAACAATTTGAGAGCCTGAAATTTTATCTTTAAAAATTTTTTTTTTTTTAAAATTTCATTTCTTTCTTAGATTGAAGGTCAATATTCACACTTGTTGGGATTGGCAAAAGAAAGACAAAATAAATTAGATGAAACCGTTAAGGCTTATGTTCTTGTAAGGGAAGCTGCAGAATTAGCCAATTGGATTAAGGATAAAGAGAATTATGCCGAAGTGGAAGATGTTGGCGAAGATCATCATCATCTCCTCCACGCATCCTCTCTCTCTCTCTCTCTCTCTCTCTCTCTCTCTCTCTCTTTAAAAAACAACAAGTTTAATAAATATATAAAATAATATTTGTATTGTCTTTTTTTTTTTTTTTTTTTTTTTAAATTTCCCGGGTTTTTTTTTTTTTCGTAGAGGGCTGTGAAATGAACTGACTCTATAATCGTTGACCGGAAACTAAAAACGAAACGAATAATAAACGTAACTCAATAATACTTGTATTGAAGAGAGAGAGAGAGAGAGAGAGAGAGAGAGAGAGAGAGAAAAAAAAAGAAAAGGGCGGTTTTTTTGTTTTTGTTTCACTTTTCTTTTTCTTTTTTTTTTTTTTTTTTTTTTCAAAAAGAGGGTTTTTTTTTTTTTTAATTTAATTTTATTAAATTTATTTAATTATTTACTTTTTTTTTAATTAAAAATATTTCACGAAAAAATTATTATTATTTGAATTTAAAAAAACAAAAAGTTTCAATTTTTGATTTAGAATTCTTTAATTGAATTAAAAAATAAATAAATAAACAAAATGGCGGTCGTTCGTGTAATACAGAAATTAATTAAAAAATTTTTTTTATTTTTTCAAGTTACTCAACTTTTAATAATTTTTTCCATATCGATGTTTTTTAAATCGAATCATTTTTAAATAATAATAATAATAATAATAATAATAAAATTATTTTACGTTAAAAAAAAGAGAGAGGGAATGAGAGAAAGAGAGAGAGAGAGAGACAGAGAGAGAAAATATTTTGTTTTTCGAATTCGAATCAAATGATGTTGTAAATTATTTTATTTGTAAAAAAAAATTTAAAAAAAAAATTATTATTATTATTATTATTATTATTATTATTATTATTATTATTATTATTATTATTATTTAAATTAAGTCAAATCGAACCGGAGTATTCTGTCGAATTTGTAAAAAAAAACAAAATGGCGTCCTCATCGATTTTTTTTTCCAAAAGAAAAAAAAAAAAATTATTTTTAAATAGTTCACGAATTCGTTCGTTCGTTCGTTCGTTACGGAACAAAATTTATTTAAATAATAATAATAATAATAATATTCATTCGATTAAAAAAAAAAACGTTATGACGACATAATAAAACGGCGTTCGCGAACGAATGGGGTCATCGTCTTTTAATCACAATCTAATACAAATAATTCCGTGCCTAAAAAAAAAAAACGTTCAATTTATTACTATTACTATTATTATTATTATTATTATTATTATTATTATTATTATTATTATTATTATTATTATTATTATTATTTTATTTTGAATTTTTTCATTTTTTTTTTTTGCCGCCAAGTTGTAATCTTACATTATTATGAAGGTTATTTCCTTTTCACTTGTGTGATTTATCTACGTTTTAGATTAAGAAAGAAAGAAAGAAAGAAAGAAACAAATAATAATAATAATAATTTCTTTTTTTTTTTTTTTTAGGGATTTCGCGTGTGTGAAATTTTATTATTATTATTATTATGTACGCATTTTTTTTTTTTTTTAAACAAAACGTGTAAATTCGAATTTTTTTGTCGAGTGAATATTATTTCCGGTGTGATTTTGTTTTTTATAAAATGACGTCACGATTTAAATTTAAATTGTTGCGTTCGGTCGAAATCGGTTTTTAAAAAAACTGGAAAAAATGGATAAACTGGAGACTGACTGGAAATATAAATGAAATTTTTGAATGAAACGAAAAAGGGGGGGAGGGAAAAATAAAAATGGCGAATGGAATTTCAAAAAAAAAAAAAAAAAAAAAAAAATTTTCGTTCGTCGTTAATTATTATATTGATTTATAGATTATTATTATTATTATTTTGTTTTTTTTAAGTAATCTGGAAAAACAACCGTTAAAAAATTTACAAAAAAAAAATTGAAAACTGGTAGCGAATTAAAAAATAATAATGATAATAATAATAATAATAATAATAAGATGATGAAATGATTTTTAATGTTGACGTTAGGAGGAATCAGTCAGTGTCGAAACGTGGCATCAGGTTTTTTTTTTTTTTTTTTAAATACACGAAATTTTTTTAAATTAATCATAAACTTGTTTTAATTGTGTATTAAAAAAAAAAAATAATTGGGGGGCCGCGAATGGGGCAATGCGAAATTTATTAAAATTAATTTTTTTCTTTACGTCTTGTTTTGTTGTTGTTATCATTATTATCGCGCAAATTACGTGGGAAATTTTTTTTGTTTTTTCGGGATAGGGAAAGTGGGGGGGCATGAAGAACTAAGTTAAGTACGAATTTCAATTTCAATTTCAATTTCAATTTAAAAAAACAAAAAAGGGGAGCAAAAATTTTTTGACGTTATTTTTTTACGGGGTGGGAAAAATAATAAATAAATAAATTCTTTAACGTACGCTGCATTTTTTTGTTCAGAATTTTCCGTTACGACGACGTGAAATGAGTCACAAACCGTAAATAAAAGCCAAAAAAAAAAAAATAAATAAATAAAAAGTTATTAAATTTGAAAAAAAATTTATTTATTTTAAATAAAAACATTTTTAAAATTATATATATATTTAAAATAATTTAATTCGATACGATTCGAATGTAAAAAAATAATAGATTTTAAATATATATATATATAAATATTTGGCAAAATAATTTAAATTTGACGGTTAACTCTATTGACACGTTTTTTTTTTTAAACGAATCATACGAATACGTAACACGTAATGGAAAACAAATAAATAAACAAATAAATAATTTTTTTTTTTTTTCCGTTTTTTCACGACGTTTTTTAAATCGTTTTATTATTATTATTATTATTATTATTTTTTGGCTGGCGTTACGTGAAACTAAAATTTAACGTCTACTCGTGTCTACTAGGTAAAACCGTTAAATTTAAATTTAAATTTAAATTTAAATTTAAATTTATTTACGATTTGTTTAAATTTTTTTTTTTTTTGGGGGGGGGGGGATTTACGTAAAAATTTTTCGCTTCGTTTTTTACGGGAAAATATGGCGAAAAATTTTTAAATATGTCTTATTTTAATCGAAAAAACTGTGAAATAGTAATTATTGTGTTGAAATCATCCATTTTAAAATTATACTAACTTGACGGTAACAAACGTAACAAACACAACAAACGACGACAACGACAGCAACAGAGTAAAAGATTTAAAAATTAAACGACGCGAAGGAACAACCGACGACACGACAACACGAGAAAATTTAAATTGAATTGTTTTGTAAAATGCATAAACGATTTTTTTAAGGCGTTGCTAATTAATAATAATGATGATTATTTAATTGAAATCGTACGATTGACACAAAATAAGTAAAAGTTTATAAAAAGAGGGGTGCGTGCGCGTTCTTAAAAGAAAAAAAATTACGACAAACAACAAAACAAAATTAAATGAAAGAAAGAAAATTTTTTTTAAAATCGATGGTGACGTCACGATTTTTATTATTATTATTATTTTTTCTGTCGTTTTTTTTTTTTTTTTTTAAACAAAAAATAATAAAAGATTTTTTTCTGAGAAGGGGTTCGAAGGGGGGGAGGGGGAGGGAGAACGAAAACAATTTTGTCAAAATTACAAAAAAACAAAAGAAACAAAGAAAAAAACCGAGGCGTAGTGTAGAGAAAGAGAGAGAGAGAGTGAGAGAGAGAGAGAGTGAGAGAAAGAGAGAGTGAGACAGGAAAAGGAAGGGGGAGGGGGAGGGGGAATTTATTTAATTTTGATATAAAACCGCAAAATATTAGGATTTTCAAAAACAGATTGAAATAATAACGTAAAATCAAAAAAAAAAAAAAAAAAAAAAAATTGTTTTCGACAAGAAAAAAAGGAAAGAATAATTAATTGACTTTTAAAATTCAAAATGGCTGACGATTATTTGAAAAGAGATGAGGAAGGAGGAAAATTTTTCGCGTCCGTACGGAAAATTCAGATAAGAGATAAAAAAAAAGGGAAAATTTTTAAGTTTTTGTTCTTTTAATGAAAGATAATTATAAATTCGGTGTCGATAACAATATAAAATTTCATTTGAAAAAATAAAAAGCGCGCGAAAGTTTTACGCTCTATGATTTTTTTTTTTTATTTGAAAAAAAATTTCCGTTGGTAGCCTTGTCATACTTGTAAATCATTTTCTAGGGGCACGAGGCTAGTAAAATAAAACAAATGACGTCATACAACAAATCCATTTTTCGATTCCTTAAAACCAAAACAGAAAAACCGATTCTTTATTTTATTTTTAAAATTTAAACATGGGTGACGATAAAAGATAAAGAAAAGATCGATAGATCGATAGATCGATTCGATTTAATTTTATTTCATACCAAAAAAAAATTTTTTTTTTATATTTAAAATGTCTTTTTTTTTTTTATATTCCGATATTGTCAAAGGTTTTTCATTTTTATTTAATAAAAAAAAAATTCAATAGAGGAAGTAAATAGAACAGATACAAATTGAAATCCATTTTAACTTTTTGTACGGTTGTTCAAGGGATGATTTTTATTTATGCTATTAATTCATTCCTTTCAACGAAAAATAATGTAACAATGGATTGATGTTAATAAATAAAATAAAGAAGGCAGAAAGAGAGAGAAAGAGAGAGAGAGAGAGAGAGAGAGAGGGGGGGGGGGACGTAAAGTAAATGGTGGTGAAAGAGAGAAAGAGAGAATAGGGTAAAGTGAATGATGGTAAACGAGAGTGAGAAAGAGGGGGAGAAAGAGAATGAGAGACAGAGAAACGGAGAGGGGGTGTAAAGTAAATGGTGGTAAAAGAGAGAAAGGCAAAGGGAGAGGGGGAGAGAGAGAGAGAGAGAGAGGAAGAGAGACAGAGAAAGAAAGAGAGAGAGAAACGGAGAAAGGGCGGAAAATGTATGAAAGGTGAGAGAGAGAAAGGGAGACGTAAAGTAAATGGTGGTAAAAGAGAGAGAGAGAGAGATAGGGATAGGGGGAGAGAGAGGAAAATAAGAAATTTTCGGTTGTTTTCGTATCGTTTACACTATTATTTTTCTTACCTGTTTGTAAGTTGTTTATCATCTGCTTACACGAATCATCATTATCGGTCATCGTGTCAGCAGTGGTCAGTACTTTATCTTTTAACACTTGAGGAAGAAACGGATGTTTATAAGGGGAAGTCCTCGGAAATGATTTAAGGAACTTTTGTAAAACTTTTCCGAATATGTAATCAGCGTCGTAAGATTTTGCTGTCTGTAATTTTGCTAATTTCGCTTAAATTAAAATTTCTGTATTTTTTTTTTTTTTTTTGTTTTTGCGTTTCCGGTTCTCTTGACATGAAAATTGACAAAACGTTTACGTTTTTTTACGAACGTTGAGACCTATTTCTCCGTCATTTTTAGATTTTTTGTAAATATTTTTTCCGGTTATTATTATTTCTGCTTAAAATTAATCAAACTATGAAACGGTTAAAGAATAATTTTTGTCGGAAAACGTATTTTCATTTTTTTCTTCTCACATTTTTTTTATTTAAAATCATGGAAGAGAGGAAGCAAACATTTAAAAAACTTTTCCCCCGTTCCTTTTTTTCAAATATTTGAGTTGGTTGGATTGTAGTAAAACCGGAAATCAAGCACAAACAACTCATCATTTTTTTTTCTTTTCCAAGGAAAACCTATCGTTATTTTACCTAAATTTAAACATTGACATTTAATTATTATTATTATTATTATTATTATTATTATTATTATCGTAAGAATTTATTACTTTTAATTAAAAAATTTAATTTTGAAAAAATCGATTTGAATAACTGGAATTTATAAAAAAAAAATTACTTAAAATTTTTATTTTTTGGAAAAAAAAAAAAAAAAATTAAGAACAAAAATGAAAAGAAAATTTTAATAATAATAATAATAATAATAATAATGATAATGATATCGAAACAAAAATTTTCACAGTCGAAGAATTAATAAATTAATTTTATTCAAATTTAAATAAATAAATAAATAAATAAAAGTTGCATTCGAGATAAAAACAAAAAATGGCTGACTGGATTAATTAAGAATTCGATTAATTAAAATAACCAACAAAAAATCCCTTATTATTATTATTATTATTATTTCAGTTTTTATTTTTTTTTTTTGAAATGCTTATTTAATAATTATTGTTAAAATTTTAATAATCGCCATCATTTTCATTCATTTATATAAAAATTTAATTTATGACGTGGAACGAGAAAATTAAACGTGTTTATTATTAGTAAACTATAACGAATAAATAAATAAATAAATAAATAAACGTTAATGAATAAAATTAATAAACGTTAATAATAATAATAGTATTTTTTGTACTATCGAAATTCTATGACGTTTATTAATTTGCCCAGGTTTTACCAGGTACAGGCTGGTGTAATGATTGAATGTATTTTAATGAATCCCATCGAATTATTTCGCGCCGGCGTTTAAAGGGGGGGGGGGCGGAATCGAATGAAAAATCCCCGGGAAAATCGAGGTTGGGTAAATAATAAAAATATTTAATAATAATAATAATAATAATTTTATTTTAAACTTCATTTATTCTATTTTTAACAATTAATTTATCGTCTATCGTGACAACGTTGGTTTTACACGATTTGTCCTTTTTCCTAAACGTCACGTACGAATACATCAAACTTCCTAAAACGCTTAAATTAATACCGACGAAATTGAGTACGGTAAATATGTAATCCCCCCCGATTATCATACCCAAATACGTTATCGAAATGTTTTTCAGGGATCCTATAATGGTCGTCGTGAGTGCGGAATTGTAATGAGTGCACGTTATTATCGAATATGTCAATATGAATCCCATGAGACAGGATAGTAGGAAATCGATTAGGAAAAATGGATTCGTCCAATTGGGATAATTTATCGCCAGGTACAAATCGCCCGTTATCCACGATAGGAAAAACGCGGGAAATATCATGAACACGTTATTGTAAAACATGAGACCGTATTTTCCCAATTCTTTGCTCTCCAATTTTTGTTTCATGTAGACTCCATTGGTCGCGGTGAAAAAATCGTTGAGGAGAACGAATACGTAGCCTTCGAAATTGAATGCGAGATCGTTGCTTGCCGCTATCAGTGCACCCGTTATCATGAGGTAAACGGCAAATTGAACGCTTAATTTCGGCTTTATGTTCAATATGTAAAACTCGGATATCATCGTCATCAATATGGAAAACCTTCGGAGTGCCGTGAACATGGGCAAACTCAATTCTTTCGTTCCGCCCAAACCGAAAACCATGTTACCCACGTGTATGAGTGGGAGAGGCCATATTTTCGTTATAATTGTCCTATCGAAATTTGGAAATTCTAACATTTTTAACTTTTTAGACGCGTATAAAACGGTGACGGTCATGGTCATTTGACCCAAGCCGAGAACTTGAAAACTTGGAAATTTGTAACTCGTTAAAACGGTTTTGTTCAAAACGGTTATGAGAAATGAGGCAACGCCGTAAAAAATGGCGGATCCCAACCTTGCGAATAATCCCCCGTGATTTTGTGCCACTCCTCCTCCTCCTCTATTGCAATTTTCTTCGTCCGTTTCCTTTTCTTCTTCATTTTGTAACAAAGGCATAGTATTTATTACCTTTGACATGGCACGCCTTCGGCAATCTGTAAAATTAAAATAATTAAATAAATATATTATTATTATTATTATTATTATTTGACGCGAAAGTTTCGTTCGTTAACGTTCCGTCGTCAAATAATGGGAAAAAGGATTTGAGGTTTTTTTTTTTTTTTTTTGTTTTTTGTTTTCCGGAAAAGATTAAACGTTCCATATGAAATTAAATAATAATAATAATAATAAGGCAGGGAAAAGGTTTTAACGTTTTGGAACACGTTCAAAAAAAGCAAAAAAAAAAAAAATCCCGGAAAATGATCGAATACATAATATCCGGTATGCTCGGTTTGGATCCGATTTGTAAATCTATTATTATTATTATTATTATTATCTGATTTTTAATTTCGTTACGGTTTTAAAAAAATATATTTTGATGTGGCGCCCCCCGGAAATGAAATGAAATAAAAATTTTAAAAAAAACCGCCAAACACCTTTCAGGTATCGAACGTGTGTCATTAATTAAGACATAAATTTTTTTCTCAGGCGTTGTCATAAAAATTTTGCCGTCAACTCGAATTTTTATTTTTTTTAAAAAAAAAAAACTTTAAATAATAATTGAAGGTTTCGAGGGAAAGAGAAAGAGAGAGAGAGAGAGAGAGAAATTTTTTTTTAAACAGGTTGAATGCGAATTTTATTTGTACGCGTTTAAAAGGCGGTGGCGGTGGTAGTAATGGCGGCGAAGGGTTGCCAACGGTTTTCACGCTTACATTCGCAAATGTTTGCAACGGAAAAAATTTTTTTTTTTTGCTGTCGTAAACCAGAAATGTCGTTAAATTAATTAAAATATTTATCGTTTTATTTATTTTAACTTCATTTTTTTTTTTTCTGTTTGCAATGAAATAAAAATTAATTATCATTATCGTATTTAATCGTGCTTGATTTCCCCCCCTCCCCGCCTTCCCCCTTTCCGTCTTTTTTTCTAGAAAAATCTCATCCATAAAAGATTTTAAAAGTAACGAGAGAGAGAGAGAGACAGAGAGTGAAAGAGAGGGAAACATTCGTTAACTTTACGAGTAAGAAAAAAAAAAAATTTCATAGAATAAATAAACGCGAGACGTGGGAGAAGGGGGGGGAGTCGTCACGGAGTTTGACGTCACGAATTAAACATTTTATTTATTTATTTATTTACTTATGACGATCACATCATCCGATTTACCCGCCGGCTACCCGGATTAAAAACTTTTCAAATTGTTTAATTATTAACTAAACGTTCGTTACGTTACGTTACGTAATCCCACTAATTTCAAATGCGTAAATTTTATTTATTTATTTATTAATAAATTTTTTCCGTTAAGTGATGATGAATTTCGAATCGATTACGTGTTTGCGAAAATAAATAAAAAAATTCGAACGGTTAAATTTAACGAGAGTCGTTTATTATTATTATTATCCTCGTTGTTATTATTATTATTATTATAGTTGCTGTTGTTATTATTATTATTATTATTATTATTATTATTATTATTATTATTATTATTATTATTTAAATTTTCGTGGGAACCGTGTTAAATTAAATATTCACTCGATCAAATTGTAATTAACTGAAAAATTTCTTATACAAAAAAAAAAAAAATAAATCTCGTTGCCAACAATATTTAATTTACCGTCGAGAAAAAAAAAAAAAAATCAATAATAATAATGATGATGATGATAATAATAATAATTTTTTATTTTTTTAAGGTTAATTTAACCGGAAAATTTGAAAAAATCCTCCGACGGGTAAATTAAATTTAGATTTTACGATGTAATTTACAAATCGTTTTAAATAATTTTCGAATATTTTATTTATTATTATTATTAGCATTATTATTATTAGTATTATTATTATTAGTATTTTTTTTAATCGTTTAATTTAACGAAAAATTGTAACGGTTTTTTTTTTTTTTTTTTTTTTTTTTAAATTAGTCACGTAATTCAAATTGAATTTTAACGTTCGACGTTAAAAAAAAAAAAAAAATTTTCTTTTCCTCGCACGTGTGCAAACGAAATCCCTACAGCATCATCATCATCATCATCGTCGTCGTCGTCATCGTCATCATCATCATCATCATCATCATGTTTCCAAAGCTCGTT